ATCATCCGCAGCGAGGAGATGGCCAAAATCTCCTGCAGCTTGGAGACCAAAGAGCTCTGGGACAAGTTTCACGAACTGGGGACCGAGATGATCATCACCAAATCCGGGAGGTAAGACCGGGCAGCCCCGAGTTCCCTCCGCGCTTTGGCGGAGGGAGTGAAAAAAAACCCAAAAACCAAAAAACAAACCAAACAAAAACCAAACACAAAACCAAACCAAAAAGTCAAAACAAACACCCCCCCGCAGATTTTGCTTTGGGAGAGCAGCATGGGTGGGCTAAAGGGGGGAAGAGGAGGAGTGTGAAGCCCCTTAATCGCCGCCGCCCTGGTCAGCAGCCCCTCGGCGGGCTCGGCCCCGCGCTGCGCGGGGCGCGGGAACCCGGAGGGAGCGGCGGCCGCTGCGGTGCGGCAGCGGGATGCGGTGCGGCTGGAATCAACCCGGGGGGTGCCGGCGGCTGGCTGGAAATGTTGTTTCCCCAATAATTCGATCCGTGGCTGAAAGCTCTTTCGTGCGGGGCGGTGGTTTTGCGGGGTCGGTTCAGGCGCGGGGAGATGAGGGGTCGGGAGGAAATAATTGAGTCAGGGCTTGAGTTTGGTTCGGTTTGCTTTTCTCTCGGTTGCAAATAACCTGCAAATGAATCCCAGGCTTGCTCGTCACCTCAAACCACGCCGTTCCTTCAGGAAGGCTTTTGGGGTTTGGGTCAGTCAAATGCAGTCTGCAAGGAGCCGAATGTCTCGTCGGGTTTTGTAATCCCCAAAGTTATTTGTTAATGTTTTTTTCCCCTAACCAGCGAGCTCTGCCAGCACTTGTTTTGTTTTGTTTTTTTAAAATCTACAATTTGAAGTTCAAATTTTTAAGCTGTTTCAAGTTACATTAACTTTAGTTCTGGTCCACGGCAAAAACTTGCACTTTAAAGTTGCGTTTTGTCGAAATTCAAGTGAAGAAAGGAAAGCTGAATTTCAAAAATTCCGCTCAGAAAGATCGTGAGCAGGCTTGAAAGAACGTAAAGCTGAAACGTGTGAGAATAGTAACGGAAACAATTTCTGAGATCTTGCCCTAACACTGGCATGGATCCTATTAAAAAAATCTATGTTCTTAAGGACTTATGTACCTTAGGTACAACTGTTCTCTGAAATCGTTGTGTACTTTTAACTAACAGGCAAAAGTACGTTTCTCCTTTATTTTTTTCACTTGTATCGTTTTTTCTTTTTGCTTCTAAAACATCGTTTTGGTTTCAAGCTGCTCTTTCTGTGCGTGTTAGAGATACACAGGGTTTAACTTCTATCACGCTGAAGCAGAATCCATAGATGCCTTAATTTTTTCTCAGGGGGCTTACATAGAATTCGTACTTTTAGCAGCTTTTCAGAAGCCCTCCTATTTCTGTTCTCCATCCACATCTTTATTTTCTGATTTGCCTTTATTTCAGGAGAATGTTTCCTACGATCAGGGTTTCCTTCTCGGGAGTGGATCCTGAAGCCAAGTACATTGTGTTAATGGATATAGTTCCTGTGGACAATAAAAGATACAGATATGCCTACCACAGGTCTTCCTGGCTAGTGGCTGGAAAAGCTGACCCTCCGCTCCCTGCAAGGTTTGTAGATTTTGTTGCTGTTTGTTCTTTCATTCTCTTCCCGTTTTTTGTTGTTGTTGTTTGGTTGGGTTTTTTTCCTTCAAGAAATACCTGCCACTAATATTTTAGTTTGCAAGCAGTGCTCTGAGACTTTGAGTCCGTGCTCAACCAATTTGATTGCAAAACTCTCATTAATTTATGTGATGCAGAATCGGGCCTCAAATCTCTGCTTGAGGCTTGATTTATACCAAATGTTCCCAAGCGTACAGGATTTGGCTAAAGGCTCTTTTAAATATATCTTTTTTTTTTTTAATGAAGTTTGCATCAATTCAGGTAAAGTTGGTTTTGTTTTTTCTTTTTTTTTTTTAAAAAAAGATATTGTCTCTTGGGTTTGCCACCCGCCCAGCATCTGACTTTGTAATTTAAAGCAATCCAGGCACCGCCAGCCAAGTCCAAGTAGAAATATTACATTAAGGTTTGATGCTGTTTATGCTTGAAATTATATTATTTCTTGATAATATATCCAGTGTTTACTGACCAATAATTTTGCTATTGCTTTTAGTCATCTCTTAGACAGCAGACAAAGTGTGGATAAGTTCTACAGCACAGAGATTTTGGTTTGGTTTTTTTTTTTTGTTAAGAAATCATGACGTTTTCTGAGACATTAGCAAAAAAATCAAATAAATTCGCCCCCTTTTCTATACAGAAATAAAATGCTGTAAAAAACCAAAACATTTCTAAAATCATTCTGTTAATGTGATTACTGACGGACTCCGTTCAGCATGGGGGAAACTGAGGCTGTGTGGTAGGAAGACACTTCAGCGGAGCCCCACACTTCATCCAGTTCAGCCCAGCACTTCAGTACGTACTCGAGCCCCCGAGCCCAGTACGACTGAAGCACATGTCGAACGGCTTTGCTGAGTCAGAGCCGCAGATATGGAAATAACGTGGATGCCTCTCTGGCTTCAAAGGAACTTTGTGTGGAGGGCTCTGCGCAGGCACACAGATCAGCTCCAGGTGGCTTAGCCCCGGGTTAGGAACTTGCTTATTACAGAGAGACAGAAATTAGAAGTGAAACACAAGAAATGGAAGCACAGGGATGGTGGTTTTTTTTGTGTCTGTGTGAGCCTGGGGACCAAATCCTGCACGCTTTCCTCATATGGATAGTTTGACTGAAATCTTGCTGACTGCTCGTCTCTGGAAAGCGGCTCAGGGAAGCAAACAAACAAAAAGCGCATGCAGAGAAGCTGTGATTAAAGACAGCAACCTAGGAGTTATGTCGGCTTTGTTTCCATGGCCAAAAACTCCTTCTTGCAATGTGGTTAACGTCTGAGGGCTTCATTTGACGTATTGCAATGGGCATGGATCAAAACCCGAAGGAAAAACACGGATCCTGCTCCAAAAGTGTCAGCATCAAAAGAAGAAATAAGGGAAGGACTGGAATAGTTTTAAGGCAGGGTTCTCCTCTTATTTTTCTGTTCAGGTCCCTTTTGGGCTACCTTTAAATAGACGGCTGATTTGCACTGTCTGGCACAGACGAGCTCAGTGAGGAAATACAAGAGTATAAGACAAGAGATTGATCCTTGGAATAATTAGCAACTGCTCTTCTGACTGTTTTAGAGCTGGAGTCAAACCTCCTTGGAGTTTAATATTAATCATCGTTGTACCGTGGTAGTAGCTCTTTAAGGTCCCCATCTAGTCAGTGCCCCGATGTGCGAATGTATACCGGTACTGTTTCATTTTCGGGATGTTTTCAGGATGTTTTGCCCCTGTGTGCAAACATGGACCTTTCCCGTTTCATTTTCAGGATGCTTAGCCCAAAGGTCACTGATCACAGCACAGGCACAGATTACTTTTTCTTCGTACGAACAGTACTTACACATTTATGCGCTTTCTCCTTCTTATACTCCTGTTTGGTGAGAAAAAGGAAGTCAAGAGGTTCAGCATTCCGATGTTTGCTTTGTTAGTGTTTTTTTCTGGAGTGTTAATGCATCTGTCGAGGTGGGAAGCCTCAGCCTCGCTCAAACAGATTAGAAGTAGTCCTCCTCCCATCGCGAGGCGGGTTTGGTCCTGCTCTAGCAACGGGAGCCCTTAATGAAGTTATCACTCGGGATTTCTCGTCCTCCAAACACAGGATTTTAGCTCTCCTTGCTTGAGGAGTGTTGCCGAGGAGTGTCTGGGCGCTGGTACCGAGGTGCAAACCCCCCCCTACATCCCTGCATCCGCAGGGGCACAACGGCATCGCGGGAATTATCCAGGAGTCACGTTACGCATGGGTGTAAGATTTTTGCAGGATCAAACCCGTTGGGTGTTTTGCTCTTTCCATCATAAAAATAACTTTCAATGCTAAGACAGTTTTGTTTTGTTTTGTTTTCCAAAATTAATAAGTATTCTTTGATTCTGTTTGAAAGATTAGCCCTTCAGGGAAGTTTCTACAGAAAACAGTTTTATCCCTGTCTTCCTGCTGTCAACGTTTAAGACAAGTTTATGTCGCAACGAAGACTTAAATAAAAATACTTTTTCAGAGAGTCTTTTGTAAACCTTCTAAATCTAATCTGGGGATAGAATTCCTATTTTGTGTTTGTTCTTCCAAATTGCTAAGACTGTGTGAAACATCAGTTTAATAAGTTTCAGCATGTACCTTTATTCGCTCTTCTTCCTTTTTCACTTGCTTTCTTTCACTCAAAAGTCTCGTTTGTTTTTTTTTTTACTGTATTTGGCTACAGTGGTTTGTTTAATGAGGTTATAGTGTTTACACACTTAGAGAACTCTAGGTAGGAAACTTTTAAAGGTTTTATATTTAAGGGTATTATATTTTGCAAATTATTTGAGACATTAAGGTAATTAAAAGCAGCATGCACAGGGCTTGTAGGACCAGACCAACCGTTAAACTAAATAGAAGGAGAGCAGTGTCGCATTCCAAAATATGTGAGCAGGAAGCAGTACCCAAACCTTGCATATATCATGAAACATTATATACCGTGGAGCAAATTCACATCCTAATATGGCTCCTAAAGCCTTTGTGAACCGGAGCGAGCGGCCCCTCACATCTGGCTGGCCTTAAGCAGCAGAGCTCGTGTGAGCTTCTGGAGGAGCCTCGTGTGCCGTGCTGGAACGGGCATGTTTGTTTCTCTAACCCGTGCGCTCATCGATGACTTCTGCTTGGGAGGGTGATAACATCTAGTTTTGAACATTCTTCTCCAAGGCATACGAGCTCAGGCTGTAGGAGAAGCGCGTGGACAGGTGTAGCTCACCAGGTGGAACCATGTGTTGCAGCGGGATCCACGGTGTGTAGCAAATCAGTAAAGCAAATCGAGCTCTATTAATGTGTAAGCGATACTCAGGTGCCCATCCTTCGGTGAATTCCCTGTTAGCTCCCTGCTAACATCCAGGCACTTTGTAGTTTGCAAGCAGTGCCAAGCATTAGCCTCCTATGGTGTAAAACAATTGTGCTCAGCTTTTAGGCACACAAAGATCTTTACTTGTTCTCCAGCACATATTTGAAATAGTTTGGCTTTTTGGTCCCAATTAGCCAAACCTTGCTGAGCCTGACACTCTGTGATTGCAGTAAACATTATTAGCTATCCAGACATTCAAAATTAGGAGTCAGGCTCCAGAAAAAAAAAAAAAATCACAAGGCTGGCTGAAATGTTGCAGGACACATTTAGGATTCTTTTTGTTTTGCCTTCTCTAATTCAGGGCTCTAAAGTTTGAGATTATATTTTTTTTACAGGAAGACAAAGTTAATTTTCATGAGAGGTAGAATTCTTTTGACCTAACAGGATTTCAAGTCTTGGGTTTTCAGATATATCCTAACTTTTCATGAGCCTCACAGTGCACTCAGCGGAGTTGGTAGCAGTGGGAATGCCTGCATGCTAGGAATATTTTATTGCAGTAGGAGCCCTGGCTCAGCATCCCTCCTGTGGACGCAGCTATACCAGCCAAGCTGTGCCTTGGATCAATGTAAGGAAAACATCCTGCAGGTCTGAAGTGAGCTGTGCTGCGAAAACTTTAGTTTCACTGTGTCTTGGGGATTCTGCTGGCAAAAATAGAGAGTGCAGGATCGAATCTCTTTCCTCTTTGAGCAACAGAGCTGCGCTCCCCGGAGTCTTTAGTACGAGCATTCCTTGATTAGGGATCAGTGTAGTCTATCCGAGAGTTACGCCCCATCCTTTAGTGGTTTTTCCATTCTCCTCTTACCTAACCAAAATCGTAGCTTGATGGAGGAAAAAATGTTTATCTTTCCAACCCGCCTGTCTCAGTGCTGCCCCACCCACCGAATGGAAGAAACCCATCAATGTGGCCAAAGACATGACCCAAAACAAGAGTGAGGCCCTCAGTGAGCGATAACCAACACTGACAGAAGCAGAACAGGTCCAGTTCGCACGAGCTGAAGGTCTAGTTCAGCTCTTAAGTCACTGTCAGAAAAGAACGTTTGAGTTAAATAATTTTCAGCAACATATTACTCCTGTAAAATCACTGCTTTTAAATAGCCTGGCACTTGCAATTAGTCTAGTCATAATGTATATATCATTGTATCTACAAGTCTTCTGTGCTTCCTTTTCTTCTGCTTAATTTCCCAAGTGGTGGATTGTTAATTACAGAGCAACGATTAATTTTTTCGTGTCAGCCCACTGTGCTGGACGGCAGCCTTCAACCTCTTATAAACAGACGTCACCACAGCTAACGTGTGATCCAGTGCAGGTTAAAATCATTATCACGGCTTAATGTTACATATAAAGAAAAATGCATTTTTATCTACATTCCCCCATTATCTCTCTAACGACACCGTGTTTTTTCTCTCGGAGCTGTAGTCATTGTTATTTTAAGTGCTTGTTAGTACAGCTGTGGGGAAAGACACGATCAATTTTTCATTTGGGAAAAGACACAACAGTGACTGTTAGTTAATGTCTCTGTTTTAGATAACTAGATAAAATAATAGGTATGGTTAGAGAGCAATCTAGCACTTGGACATGGGATTCTTCATTATGTTCCAGTGAACTAAACAACTCATCTGCTTCACTGTCTTTCATTAACGGTCGTATTTCAGGCCTTCATTAATTTGGGGGAGACCGTGTGTGTCTTGTTTGAGCAGCAGCTCTGCGTTACTCTAAGCTCTACAGAAAACCCATGTCCGTGAAACCACCATATATCCAGAAAGCAAGATATTATGGGCTTTCTAACTTTTTATGGAAGTAGTGCCCACGCACAAGCCAAGAGGTGAGATTTTTTTAAGAGTGGGCCTTTTCTCTGTGTTTTTGGGTTTTGTGGTTTTTTTTTTTTTTAGGTTGTACGTGCACCCCGACTCCCCGTTCACGGGAGAGCAGCTGCTGAAGCAGATGGTGTCCTTCGAAAAAGTCAAACTCACCAACAACGAGCTGGATCAGCACGGCCACGTGAGTAGCCTTCCTGGTGGGAAAGGGCGAAGGAACCGGTGTCGGGGGATCGCTTGCCCATGGCGCAGGGCTAAGATTGTGGGAGAGAGACCGCGATGGGGAAAGGCTGCCGTGGCCCCCACGTTACGCCCCTCTTGGCTGGCCCTTCGTAGCGCCATGGAGGAGGACACTGCGTGAAGCTGAAACACCTTGGGTTTTAATCTCTTTTGTTGTAGAGGATCAGGTGACTTCAGAAATCAGGTTTTTTACCATTTGTAAGGCAGAACCTAGGTCATCACAAGCATTCAAATTATGCTCCTACAGCCATCAGAGGCAGAACATCCACTGGGGACCAGTTCAGGGTGAGGCTGAGCATCAAAGCGAGGGAGAGAAGGGAGGCAGGTGAGCTTTTTGTCATGCTTCTGCCTGAGTTTTGCAGTGTCTTGGCAGTATGCTCTGCCACACGTGCCAGCTAGCAAGCTCATACGCTTTCCCGTGTGTGCTTGGAATCTCACTCTTGTTACAGGCAACCTGTTAGGGTTGGGTCCATCAATACGAGCTCTTTTACTTCCAGACTTAACGTGGTACGGGCACAGAGGCAGCAGAAAACGTTGATGTGACACCAAAGGCAAGGGCTATCGAATTGTAAAAATGTGTGCCTTGGTTGCCCTTGAAATAACTGTATGCTACCTGAGAGTCAAGGTGCTACAGGGTGAACTTGGGCCCCTAAAGGAGACAGGTCCCAGCTCCGATCAGTATCAGCTTGTCACAAGCCCTGAGGCTGGAAGCTGAACGGATGTGGAGCTGCTTGGCCATAAGCTCCTGCTGGGCTCCATCAGCGGGGACAACTCCTTTAGTTACCTGTCTAATGGGAGGCGGTAAGAAAAAGTGTCATCCATCCTGTCCCTTCCCCAAAAGCACCCGGAAAGTGCAGGAACGACTTGGTAGCACCTCCAAATTGCAAAGGAAGAACTGAAGGTGTTGTCTCTGGGCTCGGCCGTTCCCGAAGGAGCAGGGGGGTGGATTTGAAAGGGTTGTTGGCTGAAAACGGGGCAGTTCAGTAGAACGTGCATAGAGGCAGTGTTAGTAAATGAGGTGTCGGGAAGAGAGGAGGGATTTGGAACTCTGCAGCATGTGTATGGGTAATAACCTGTAAAGCTGAATAATTGTGGCACACGCGGTGTCGGAAATCCCTCCCTTCGTGTGGTGGTTATTGCCTTTTTGGACCGTGGAAGACAGTGGCCGTTTGTCTGAGCTCTGTTCTGTGCAAATGCTTCTCAGCTGAAAGAGAATTTTTACTCATTTTGAGACCTGAGGACTGAACCGCAGCCGTGACCATTTAAAATACATCCTGGAAACAACGACAAAAGTAATTAAAAAAAAATATCCCAACAAAACAAAAGAAAGCCCAGATAGATGCGTCTGTGTTGTTCTTTTGTAAAGTCTGTGAGTATATTTTTCTCAAACCTGGTTCCCACTGTTGTTCCCTTCCTGACTAGCAGAGAATTTCCTTTTTTTTTTTTTTTTTCCTTCTCTCTTTTATTTCATAATCTGTAGAAGGGCAAAGCCGAAGATTTGTGGGCTCTACCACTGAGTGATGATAGAGCAGTATACGTGCGCGTTTAAAAAGAAGCATTTTTCATCATAACAGGGGCCATGTGTGCCTCTAATAAAGGGCTCGCAGCAGTATATTGCACACTACTTAGGAGCGGTGCAGTTCCCAGAAGCCCAGACGAGTATAAAAAAGAAGTAGGTCTGAGAAGCTGTCGGGAACAGAGACATGTGACAGAGCAAGAAGATGGAACCGTCCCAAATACAGGCAGCGGGAGAAAACGATCCGTAGCCTTTGAGATGTGGCCTCCCGATTAACTTCCCAAGGAGCGGCAGAAGTGGATCCCGTTCTTGACGCGAAGGCTTTGGACAGCCAAAGTGGACGGAGAGTTTTGCGTGTTTGGTTAAGAACAAGCCCCAAGGACTTGAGCCCGTGTTGAGAGTTGCGTGACGCCTTCGCGGAGCGCTCCCTTCTTAACGTTTTGTGAGGTTTTATGTTCCAAAACAGGGTGCCAGGTTTTATGTGTTGCCTTATGGAAGCCATGTAAACACCATCATTGGATGCTCAGTAGAATTAAGGAAGGAACTGATTCTCTGGACCCCTTAGGAGGGCTCACTGTGCTGCGGTCAAGAGCATTTCTGAGCTCCCGTGTGCTAAGGGAAGAGGAGAATTGAAATGCCTCCTGAAGCCTCTCCCCTCAGTTTGAAAGAGCCCTTCTTCGTTGACAAGATCTTTCTAATTGACCTGCTAAAATCTTAATAATGTTTGATAAGGTGTGCTGGTTCCTGACGAAGTTTTAAGGACCTAAAAGACGCCTTTAAATACTAGGTATAGGTAGAAGAGCTGTGTCCAACTTGATTCCAGTTTGTTCCAGTTGCTTGCTTTCTCCACTCTCCAGAGAGAGTTTTGGTTGTTAAGGTAGTTGTGATGTTTTATTTGTAGGGTGGTTCATTTCCTGAAAAGGAATCTGAAGAGGAGAGAGGCATTTGTTTGTTTTCTCTTATTCTGAGACTTTAGGAGCTGGCAAGCATCTCTGCTCCTGTATCTTCAGCAGCGTGCATAACCCCATAGCTATGTACATATTCTCTCCAAGCATCAGGCAGAAGTCTTATCTCTGTGTGCATGACATACAGCTTGCTCCATGGAAACACTTCCAGATATCCTTACCAGAGGAAGGAAATGGCTCCTGTCTCTGGGTTTTTACAGCCAAGCAAGTAATTCCCATTTTTCTGGTTGTGGAACATTTATGAACGTGATTATTTTTATTTTTTTTTCCCCCCAGATTTCCAGTGATGTTTTTCACACGGGCTCCTCCTTGTAGGACTTTTGGTTGTACTTAGTTGCGGTGGCGTTACGGTGAGGTGAACCATGAGTGTAGACACTATCGTAATTGCTTTTCTGGCATTTATGATAGGAAAACTCAAACACATGAATGTTTGCAAAAGCAAACACAAAGGTGTGAACATGGCCAATGAGTACCTGTGAAAGCAGGGGTTTCAGAGTAGCCACACAGGGAGCTACGCCCAGGTGTTTTTTTTTTTTTTTAAAGTAAATCTGGCAAATGTTAGGAACCTTCATGCTTTTAGAAAGCAAACTTTGCCTGGTAATACTGCTCTCTGGTGAATGTGGAAGATGCATTCACAGCATAGTTCCTGAACTCAAAGCCGCCTCAAGGGACTTTTTACCAGGGCATGTAGCAATAGGACAAGGGGCAATGGCTTTAAACTGGAAGAGGAGAGATTTTGGTTAGAGATAAGGCAGAAATCCTTCATTCTGAGGGTGGTGAGGCACGGGAACAGGTTGCCCAGAGAAGTTGTGGATGCTCCATCCCTGGAAGTGTTCAAGGCCAGGTTGGATGAGGCTTTGAGGAACCTGATCTAGTGGAAGGTGTCCCTGCCCGTGGCAGGGGGGTTGGAACTAGATGATTTTGAAGGTCCCTTCCAACCCAAACCATTCTACGATTTCGCAGCTGGCATCCAGATTGCCTCTGGTGACCGGTCTGTAGCCAGTGGCAGCCAGATGCCTACAAACCTGCCCGACCTTACAGCAAGCAGGATCCCGTAAGGATGGATCCTGCTCACCTGTCCTGCCGTGGGCTGCTGGCATGAAGGCAGGTGGGATGGCTGGGGGCCTGTGACCGTGCTGTGCTGCCAGGAAGTGTGTGTCAGGGGGCTGCCATAAGTATACGTGCACCTGATGTTCCTCTAAGGGCACACCAGCATGACTATGGCAGAGCTGGTGTCAGAGGCTTTCCGGTAGCTACGCCATGCAGGTAGGGACTGCTTGGACTTTGAGACCACCCTTGGGGGCTACTCTGAGAGATGCACCCTGTGTATCTAACTCCTGTAGGCTGTTTTGGTGGTCCTAACACAAGAAGTCGCACAGATATTAAGGGATGTCTTTGTAAAGTATCCTACTGACTTTAATATCGGTGAGTACTGCAACATCAGCAGCCTGCGCCGGGATGCAGATGGAATGCTATATCCACAGACCCTCGTGAAAAGGCAACAGTGACCTTAACCTTGGCCATGGGTCTTCTGTGACCTCCTGGCTACATTCAGTAGTTGTTTTGTACCTGAATAACCCAACTTGCCTCTGATGGGAACGCCCAGGGTAGAGCATCGTGGCAGGGGATGTTATCCTTGTGCGCTTTTGGTTTTGGAAAACTTTCATCCAGGATCACGTGGTCTTGTTTGAGAAATGGAGTTTCTTTATTGCATTTTGCGTTTACAGAGGAGTGAACGGAAACGTGTGGGAGCTGCTCTTTCTTCCTTCCGCTCGGCTGCTGCTCAGATGTAATGCCTTGGTGTGAATATCGCTGCCATGAAAGGCAATGGGAAGCTCTGAGGTCTGTGGCCCAACCCCTCAGTAAGCTCATCACCATCCATGAGCTGTCCTTTAAAATGTTTTTTTTTCCAGTTGCTTAGAGCAGCCCAAGTGACTAGGCTGGGAAGACAAAATTTTACAAAGAAAGGGGAAAAGTCCCAAGGATGTTAACGGTAAGGTCAATGGCCACCGCGTGTGTGCATATATAAAACGGTCAAGTGATTTGAGAAAGGGCTTGAGTTGGTAAAAGCAGGCATGCAACACTTTCAAGATGATGGTTCCCATCACCATAACGACTTTCCTCTTGCTGTGCAAGCCCCACAAAGTCACAACGCGAGTCCCAGCGATATCTGGCCCCGAAGGAGCAGCGGAGAAAACGCCGATGGAAATTTTAGCCACGACAAAGCTGTCTCCAAGCCCTCCGCTCCCATGCAACGTGCAACCTTTCTCACTGACTTGAGTTAGCACGAAATACTGCACCACTTCTGCTGTGTTTCGGCTGAAGTAACGCTTCCCAAGGAATGCACATTAGCTATTCCAGATGTACGGAGACGGCTGTAACGTCGTTATGGCCCCTGCAAAATAGAACCACCCACACCAATGCCAATTTCGTCTTGTGACTGTGATTATATCCAAAACAAGGACTGGTGCGAGCCGAGCTCTGTATTTAATTCTTATATTGTAATACTGTGGTTAGAGGCAGCCAAAGAGGCCTCCAGCCAGTGGTAACCGAAGCAAGTGGGACTCTCGGTTTGGTGCCAGTGAACGTTGAAGTTGGTTAGTTGGTACGTTAGGTTTAGAATTATTCTGGGAGCTCGTAAACAATTATTAACGAGGATAAAATGGCAACACCTGGTCATTTCGGGGTTCTGTACTGGTTTCCCTCTTTGCTCTCATTTTTAGTAGTCTGCGGTCGTCTACCGAAGTAGCTCGCTTTAAAGGTTTGCCACAGTAAAAGGATCTGGGGGATTTTATTTTTGGTCAGCCAGTTTGTGCTGCAGCCGGTGCCGGTTTTTCGGTTGGGTTTTATTTTTTTCTAGTTTTTTGAGGGGTTCCTGGTTGTTTTCGTTCTGCACCCGTATATTTGTGCAAGTGTGGATTCTCGGGCATGAGGCTGCAAGAGTTACGTATTTACGTTGCAGCTGACACCTGGCAACTGGGGCACATGCTAGCAAATTCCATAATAAAATAACAAATTCTGTATGGAAAACACCTCACCTGTAGGAACAGGTATTTATGCTTCAAAAACATGTCCTCACCAGTGGTGCAGGAGTGAGAGGAAACGAGCTCGTGGGGTGCCTGCTTTTCCAGCTTCATTTTCTGGAACTGCCCAAAGGAGCTGGAGACTTTGCTCTGAAAATCGACCGCTAGCTAGTTAGATTTCAGATGTTAATTGGATCTTTTTTCTCCCTTACGATATTAATAGCCTTTGAGGGCCCCGTTAACCTTCCTCCCAGGACAGTGCCTTCTCGCTCTTTCTTGCAGATCATTTTGAACTCCATGCACAAGTACCAGCCGAGGGTCCACATAATTAAGAAGAAGGATCACACTGCTTCTTTGCTAAATCTGAAATCAGAAGAGTTCAGGACGTTTATCTTTCCAGAGACAGTTTTCACAGCTGTTACTGCCTACCAGAATCAACTGGTGAGTACAGTTGCTAATTTCCACGGATTTAACGAGATCTGAAAACTCCCTTTTCTCCAATCTAAACTAGGAAACTTTCTGATACAGCCTACCTCTCCATGCCAATGTCTGGAGTGACCCTGCCCAACCAAACTCATATTCAGGAGTAATTCTTAAGTATGTGGGTAGTACTACTAACTTCAAAGGGCCGTAAGGATTATTCATGGGAGCAAAGATGACATGAAAGAGGCTTTCATTTGTCTTTCCTTCTGCCTATGCAAAGCTGTTTGCGTATTATCGTTTAGTCCTTTTCTAATTATAGCTCATTAAGGAACTCTTCTTATTTGCAGCGATATTCTGGTTTGCACATGACGATTTCACGGGCTGAAAAAGTTGACAAATTATTAGGCTGTAAGGCTCAAACGTAAGGGAAATCACTCAGAGATATGCTTTTCAGAGGCTGCCCAGATTACATCCAGATGTCTGAATTTCAATTTGCATGCCAGCGGATAATATATACAAAATGGAGGAGATCATAACAATGGATTGCTAATGAGTAATTTTAGGAAGTGTATAAACAATTGGGGAGCTGGCACTCTGCTTGACAGTGGATAAGGCTTGAATACTTAAGTCAGTGGAAATATGTCGTTGGCTTCTGTGTGATTCAGAGTGTGCTTAATGA